CGAAACGAATTACGCGCCATGATCCAAGATCGAAAAACTCCACGAGTGAAGAGTCCGGCCAGCTCCATCCAACAACAAGCGGGCAAAATGCCGCAATTCAGCCTCGGTGATGTATGGTCTGGCACCTCGTATCATGCCTTTGGGAAGCGATCGGCCACAAGGGTGACAAAGCACAGAGGAGTGAGTGCCAGGAAGGAGCAATTGTCCTTCGGTAGCAAAGATATTGCCACACCACTGTTTAAAAGCGTTAACCAAATTTCCAAAGGGATCCTGCGGTGTAAACTTCACCAGAGTATATTGCCGTGAGAGAAAAACGTGGGCAAGCTCCACATAAGCCACAGTCATGTTGTCTCCCAAACGCCATTGTAGGGCATGCAAGAAAGAGAGAAAAGTCGCGGCGTCATCATGTCCACAGCAAGTTTGGACAACTTCAATGCCTGGACACGGGTTCCGTGCTTTCCACTGAAAGAGGGCAATATTCGGTTTCCAGTCCCATGCAGGAAAGCGAGCAACGCACTCATCCACATTGGCTTGCTGCAAACAATCTTCTTTAGTTTGGAAGACAGGCTTCACGATTCCGTCTGATCCGATGAGCGTGTTGAGGCGCACCAGGGCGTCTGGTCTTTGCCAAGCTGCTTGGCAAACCACTGGCCACATATCCACCTGAAACGCTGCTTGTCCTTTGGCCAGTCTCTTGGCCTCCTCGTCGGCTTTGCGGTTTGCACGAATATGCCAGCCAAACAGGCCATTCGGAAAAGCCTCATCTTTGTCGATGGAGTCGAAGGCGCGGTGGTCACAAGTGTGAGCCGGCATCCATTGGACCCGGATTGGCTGCGCACAGGACCGCGTTTTGGTTTGCCAGACATGCAGAATTGTTCTCCAAATGGGAGCATGGCTCCAGGTGGGCGAGACCCTGCCCTGCTGGGTCATAACTCCAAATAAATCAGCCACAGTTTTACAGTCCGTGAAGATGCAAACGCGTGCGGGGGCCATAATGATGGCAACAGCAAGCGGGAACAATTCGGCTGTGTAAGCAGCAAGTGAAATATGTTGAACTGGAGCTGACGCCACAAGACGCTCTTGGTGATGATATATGGCGAAAGCTGCAGCAGTGAGCCAAAAAGACTCTTGAAGAACAACAGAGCCATCAGAGAACCAAAGCAACTCTGCAGCTTCTGGATCAAAACATGTTGCATCAAACACCGGAAGCTCAGAAATTGTCAAGCGTTGGGAGGCAAGAGCAGGTGGATGCTCCACAATTCCCAAACCGCAAAAATTTGGTCCTAGCTCATGGTCAGGCAAGCTTGTGATGAAAGATGGCGCAGCAGTACACTCATTCACAATGTGTAACAGTGATTCCTTGGTTTGCATGCAAAACCGGCAAGCAGGGGAATCAATGAAACCAGCTGCGGCTCTTCTGTCATTGGTAATAGTGCACCCGACGATTTGTGCGTCAAAGTGACATAGAACCTCTTTCGGGGGTTGATGTTTACGGGAAGCGAATTTGTAAGCCAACGAAAGGCGTAGATCAACCAATCCACTGGGCTTTTTAACATCCTTACGCGAATTGAAGTTGGTGTTTTCGTAGCAGAACTGCCGACCCAAAGCATGAAGCATGCCCCGCAAATCTTTTGGGGAGACATCCAGAATGGAGAATTTGGAAGACCCAATGCAAATGCAAAGGTCGGGCATCAACGCACAATGAAAAACCAGCAAGGCTTCACGGAAATGTGAAATAAGGCTGTGCTTGTTTTGATTGGCAGTCATGAAAATTTGCTGCAACTTAGGTACAAATGACGGATTGCGGTGAAGAAAACGCCAAATGTTGCACACGGTCACATAAGCTCTGGCGACTCTCGGGTGCACAAAACACGGGTTGCACAAAAAAGTGAAAATGAGCATTCTGGCTCTCCAGTGGGGCCGTCTTCCCCAAATGGCATTGGCAATTTCATTTTCAATTTTTGCGCATGTGAGCCTCGGGATCGATGAGATGTCAGAAGCAAAAGTGCATTGCGGCAAAATCTTAGTTGCAATCAAATGGCACTTGACCTTGGTAGAGACAGGAAGAGCAGCGATGTTCTTCGTGTCAGCACATATTTTGATGGCCTTCTTTTCCGGGAATTGAAAAGCCTCGCGTTGGGATGTATAGATTTTTGCACCCAAGGCATCAAATTCAAGAACCAACGGGATTGAGGGAAACAGTTTCTTGGCCCTCTTTCTAGCTTTTGAGGATGAAGCCCAAAGGGAACTCTTGTCCTGGTTTAGCTTTTGCCCAATGAGGGCATTCCACTGCTCAGTGACTTGAAGAGCCGTGACGAGACTATCAATTCGCGACAGGCGGACCCATAGGTACGCATCATCTATGAACACACGGCAACACACATGGGGAATGAGGCTCATAAACTTGGCCCACACAGCCATATGGACATTGATTGCCAAAAGCGAGAAACTGCAACCTTGAGCAACCCCGTTAGCCGCAGTGGTGGGTGAACTCGACACCCACCCCCGATACGACAGGTGGCGCTTAAGGGTGGCATAGATTTTGACAAAAACATTCACGATGCCTCGTGGCATACCGAAAGCGAGAAAAAGTGCGGCAGTGAAGCTTGGGAGCAACCTGTCGAAACACTTGGACTGATCAAGCTTAATGCCTACCAAACTATCAGCAGAGGTCTGGGCCTCATCAATTTCAACGCGCAAGCCTACACTCACATCGGCCATGTCCCTACCCTTGATGCCCCCACACAGAATGCGTGAAAAGGTACGATTTGCCACTCCTGCAAATGTCGGAAACGGGTTCCCGTATAAGCTAGGAGCATTGGGGAAAGAATCGTAATAAGTCGTTTGTTCAGAGGGGAGGCAGGTCCGGGCTTAGTAAGGATAACTTGTTTGGCTCTAGTGAGAACAACAGGCATGTCTGCATCACATTCATTCTCCAAGGCACGGGAAAAATTGCAATGGCCTCACAGCATGAGACTGGAAGGTGCTGAAGGTCACACGTGCGCCACCCATCCATGCCGGGCGCGGCCATGGGGTTGCGCTGTTTGATAGTCAAAGCAATCTCCGCACCCGTGAGTGGAGGGAGTTCAAAAGGAATAGGTTCATCAAGGTAAGGCCAAACAACACTGAGCATGTCAAGCGGGTCACTATGCAGCACATTAGAGCTATAGATAGCGTCCCAGTCGCAGGCAATTGACATTAAAGCGTCGTTCGGATTATAAATGATGTTCCCATCTTTATCAAGAACAAGGTTAGCCGGTTCATCAAGACATTTGTTTTTCAAATGATGAAAAATATGCTTCTTGGTGGTCTTGGCTGATTCCTGCATACGTGTCCTCCAGGCATCAATACGCATGCGTTTCTGCCTTTGTTCCCAAGATTGAATCTCTTGTTTTATCCAACAGACATTGTTGAACGACCAGCGAGAAAGAAAAAGGAAAGTCCCAGCACCACGGCGAGTTGAGATCGCGGAGGGCTCTCCAAACTTTCTTAGCCGTTCTCTGAAACACGATGGCGTCACGGACAGTGAGGGATGGTCGTTTCAATCGAGTTTCAAGCTCCCACAGCTGCCTGAGTGTCTTATACAGCTGAGAGCCTTTGTGAGTTGCGGCAGAACCATTCGGGAGCTGACCTGGACAAATCTTCTTTTTGGTGAACTGAGGTAAAAAACCCCTTTTTTGAACGCCAAAGCCCCATTGCGACCCATTTTGGAGAAGGGTTTGAAGGCAAAAGTCATTAATGACATTCCATTTAGCAGGGAAGTCCTGCGCAGTGTCAAAACGTGCATTGTACTCCTGGGACCACATTTGCATCGCAGCGTCTTCAAGCCTATGAGGCGACTGTGATGCAGTTTCCTGGAGGCCAGTATGATCGAGGGCAGCAAATTTAGAGTGAATTTCCCCGACTTGATGGATTGGCTCCCAAAGAAAAGCGGCTCGAACAGGCCTGTGTTGGTGCCCCTGAAGCTCAATGACTTCAATTGACTGCAAAGCACAAAAAGCAACACGGTTCAACAGAATGCCATCAATGGATGAGCACCCTTCCCCCTCTCCAGCAAAGGTGCCGTCCAATGAAAAGGTGATCGGCCAGTGAAGTCTGCCTTCAGCATCGGCGGACACTAAGGGATCAGACCAACCCTCAAAGTGAACTGCACGGGCAATTGAGGGGTATGAAAGCGGGGTTGACTGGAAGTCACCTGCAATCAACACAGGAATGTCCCCGAATTGGGAGGAAATGAGAAGGATTTTGTCAAACAGATCATCATTTTGCTCAAAGATCTCAGGGGAAGCAGAGGCCCCAGTTTTCGCGTAAACTGAAAACACCAAAGCCCTGACTTTAGAGGAAATTTGGATCCAGCAAGCATTGACCCTTTTGGTCTTGAAGATCTCCTGGTAAAGGTGGGTGGCATCATCTTTACAGTCAAACGGCCGCGCAGTGGTATCGGGGGCGATAATGGCTGTGCCTCCGTGCATGGTGATATGTCGGCCGTCAGAGCGGATAATACCCGATAGGAGTTCACCGCAAAGAGTGAACGCTTGGTGGTTTGGACCTGTTTGCATGAAGTCCGAAAGTTATTTCTGCCAATGCGGGTTTCTTGGAGACAGTAAATGACGTCTTCATTAGTCTGCCAAAAAGAAGAAGTTTTAAGGCTCCCTATGTTCGCAGTGGAGATGGACCAACAGGCTCCAACAGAACAATTTGGGGGTTTCATGGGGCCTTCCCCAGGAAAACCACAAGTGGAGTCAAAGTTCATAGGGAACCCACAAGCGCGTACCCATCTGCACACTCCCTGCGGGCACACGGTAAAATGTTTTGGGCACTTCGGCATTGAGTCATGGTGCAAACTACGAACAATGCTGGCCTTCGTGGCGAGGACAGCTCCTGCTTTTCTGGCACTCATTTGAAGCTTGTGAGTCTGATCAAGCATGTTGCCTTTGGCGTCAAGCACAGGATGTTTATCCGGCAGCAACAGGTCCTCCCATTTGGTGGAGAAAAGGCGCTTGGGTTTCTTCGCCCATGGGTCCCCCGAGGCCCATGGATCTTGGGCCGTGTTGGCCTTCACAGTGGAAGCTGCACTCGCATGAGGATCCGACTTGCTTGAACCATCGTCGACACCTCCAGCACAATCGAAGGCTTCAGTAGTGCGGCCTTCAAGAATGCGGCAGAGGAAACCGTTCCTGGCATCATATGCAAAGTCCACAGTGTCGGCAGCAACTCCAGAATTCTCCCAACAAGCAAAGTCAGTGCCCTTGATGACTCGAACAAGTTCCCGGTGTCTAGTGTTGGCAAGGATATCGAGGAAAGCGTGCGGCGTGTCCGGCATGACAAGTTGCATCCTCTGAAAAAATCCATGAAGCAAGGACCATCCGCACATGCCCGGTGGAGTTTGAAAGGGAACAGGAACAGCTTGGATCTCATGCGCAGGAAGGCCAATGAGGTTGGCAATGTGGACAATGAACGCAGGGATGTAGCCAAAGATCTCTGGCGGTCCATAGCAGAAAAGCGTTTTCAGACCAGTAAGGCCAACAGTGGACCAGGCATCACCAACGGACAGATCCAGCTGCACCCAAGTGCCATCAACAATCAGAAACCAAGTGACGCTCGTATGATGCCTGAAGTCAGGAGTGAGGCCTTGGAAGTAGAGGAAGGCAGAGGTGACTGAACACCAACGCGCAGGCGGACAAAAATAAGTCTGGGGAAGCACGAGCCTCGGGTATTCCAGAATCCAATCCAACTCATCTGATGCCAGCCAGCCGGGTTGGTCGCGCATTTTGAGCAGCCTCCGGATAATGTGGTAATCCGGGATGGCAGGGTGAGGCCGAAGAGGAAATCCACCTGGATGCTGAGGGGCGGCCAAAGGTGCTTGCACATCAACAAAATTGACATACAGCCGAATTGTGGTGACCGAGTCACGCTGCATGCTATTCCGAGCAAGTTGTGAGAAGAAGCCACGCCTCAACTTCACAGGCTGCAACCACACATCCGTGGGAATGTTGTCAGCAACCCAGTCCTCAATGGCTGAAACCAACACATCCTCAATGAGAGCCTTCTTTCCGAACGAGACCTGCTCAAAGCCATCATTGACCGGTGGGAGCTCATCTTGCAAACCGGCAGCGCGAATCCATCGATCCAACAAGACCCATCCGCACATATGACGATAGTCAGGGAGGACAGTAGACGAGGCAGCAAGCCTGCTAGGATGGAAATCCAAAAGGCGCGCAACTGCAGCAACAACTGTGTGGAAATAAGGGCCCGGAAAACCCAAGACAACCACAGTGACCAAGTGACTGGCGCGGTTGACCTCAACAGCGCACCGATGTGAGCGGAGGAGAATGGGAATCACAGTCAAACGATTGTTTGGAATTGCGAATTCAACCTGCGACCCAAAGTCAAAATCACCGTTGTCATCATCCCACAACACTGGCATGGCAAAGTAGGCATACCCAGGATTAGCCCATTGCACGTGCTGGATCCAGAAGGTGAGTTCGTCAGTGGCGATCCAACCAGAAGTGTTTACAGCAAACTCGCAGCGGTCCTCAAAGGTAGGTCCAGGAGCCAAGGCATGTGGGCCGGAGGCATGGTGCCCCCCCCGCACGAACCGGGCCTTGGAAGGACAGAAAAAGGATGTCCCCATGCTTGATAAGGTCATGCCCCGTCCACGGAAGTCCATTGCAGTGCTCAATCATGAACATGGTTTGACCTAGGTGCAAAATACACGAATCGAGAGGTTGCTGTTGCAGAGATGCAACACCAATTGCACCACTGGCTCGAATGAACGCAAACCAAGGCTCATTATCAGTGCACGGCTGCAAAGGAAGGAAGAAGGCACAAGGACCCAAATCCACAGATGACGAGACAGAAAGCCGCAAGCGCTTGCACACGGGTGCGAGCAAATCCAAAGCAGGATCACGCAAGATCTCATCAGACACAAGGCCAGTGAAAGCCATAGCAGGTGTGCGAAAAGCAAACAAGGCAGGGACACCTCGGTTGTCATGAAGACATTGCTCAGTCGATTGCAGGACGCTGCAAAAGGCCTCAGTGGAGGTGATTGCATCAAAATCCAAAGGACATGGGTTCGAAGCAATACCACGGGGTGGCATTGGTCGGCTGGACTGTAGAGTCGGCGAAATCTCGATAATCTCCCCTCCCGGAGGAGGGGGTTTGGTGGCAGGCGCACAAGGCCTCATGGTAACCTCAAGGAAGGGTCGCCCATCGACACAGATCTGGCAGTGCTGGACAATGGTGGCGAAATCACGAAGAGCATAGGAATGCAGGTTCTTATGGTCCTCATTGCGGCAATAAATGTGACTTCGGACATTGAACCTCCACACAAAAATCTCAGAAACTCGGCTCACTTTTAAGAAAAGGTAGGAAGATGGACTTGGTGGCTTCCGAGAGACAGTGCATGAGGCACCATTCCACACAATCGGCCTCAAGAGGGACCGACACCGCCTGAACAGCAAATTCACGGATGAAAGCATCGATGGAGCACAAGAAGGCGAAACGGTCATTATGAACAACAAAGCTCGAGAAGCTGGTAAGCCTTGCAGCCCAGCATCGCAACACCAAGGTGTGCACAGGCAAATCCCACGAAAGTAGAGCACGAAACCCAACACCGAGGGTGAGCATTGCTTGTGGAACCGAAATAGCATTGCCAATCTGTCGAAATGCCAACACCATCTTGAAAGACATTACTACCGATTCCGTGGCACCCAGCAAGGAACAGTGCACGAACGGGTCGATGAAAAAGAAGTCTTTCCCACCAAAGTCCAGAACTGCGAAAATGCCTCTGGCCTGTAAATGCGCAGGAGACAGGTTGTGCTGATTGCCATAAGAGGCGCAGAGCGTCGGGAGGGTATCATACGGATCTTGAACGCGCTTCCTGAGCACCTGCATTTGGGAGGCACTCTGCAAAGCCGGGTTCTGTTTGGCCGTAGGCAAGAACCTGGCATCCCCGTAGGTTTGCAGTTCAGATTTGGTGAGTGTCAACTGCTCCCGAAGAACACGAGGTAGTACGAAGCGGTAGTGCTGTGACGACCATGGGATGATACGTTGATCAGCTCTTACCGGCAAAGAAGGCCCGAGGCACTCTGCAACAATGTCACGCCTCAGCCAAACACTCAGCCACCTGGTTCTGGAAACATGAGACAATTGATGGTATGGCACTGTTCGCTGCCAGATGCACCTGTAGCCTCCATTTGTAAACAATGCCTCCAACAGTGCAAAGTGTGGATGCACTGAGATCTCGTCCACGCACTCGAGAGTCAGCGTGTGGGGCTGGCCCGCCACAGTGAGTTTCATAGTGTCAACAAAGGCCCACCCGTTGGAGCAGGCAAGACCGGCTGACAAACCTCCTTGGACCATGGCTGACAAGGGGGAGAAGCCGTAAAGCATAGATTGGCGTGTGGCGCCATCAGATGAAAAACAGTGTGATCCTCCACGCATGTCTGTACGAAGGCGTTCGCATGAGCCTCGAAGGCCTGACGAGGCCGAAGTGGGCCCACGTGGCAAGGAAGTTTGTGTTTCTCCATCCATACTTGCGCAACCTCCAAATCTGCATCAAGGCTCACTTGAGCTCCCACATGAAAGCTCTCGACAAGCCGGGGAAGCATGTTGACTGCTTGGCTCCATCCATGAAAAGCACCTGCGAACAAATGCAAGAAGTCCCACTCAGCTTTGGCATCAAAAACTGGGCGTTTCGTAAGGGTGACATTGGTGTCTCCCTTCCAGCTGGATGGTGTAATCCTCTGCAAGCGACCGCAGCACAAAATGAAATCACAACTTTGAAATGAAAGGGCGCGCTCTGAAACTCCAGGAATAGCACTCGTGGCATGAGTCATGGCATCGAACACGAAGCCCTCTTGCGCAACGAACCGTCCAAGTTCCAAATCTATACTATCTGAATGGACTCCAACAAAAGAGCCAGCAAGAATGGATAGATCTTTCCAAAGCACTCCAGGGCCATCAGTCAGGCCCGCAAAGACCCCGCAGACCCTCGAGGACCACGGACTTGGCAGGCCATCGAGGAGCTCAGTCACATCTTCCATGGCTCGAGACAAGAAAGATCGCAGCTCCAACAGGTCACAAGGCGGGTGACTGAGCGGAGCGCGATCAGTCTCTGTGGACGCCCAACGCCAGCCTCGCGGCTGGTCGCAGGGCAGAGGGATCCCGGAACCCGTGAGGCGAGTGGTTTTGAACCGAAACGCCTAGTAGCGTCCTTGTTCCTAGTAGTAAGGCCAGGAGCCCCTAGTA